CCTGATCTGGTGGGCTTGGCTCTGAGTTACAGGTGGGCTCATGTCTGTATCCTGTGCCTTCACGCTCCTTGCACCAGTGGGTTGGCCTTGGCAATGTGAGAAGTGCGAGAGGGAGAGCAGAAACATCCAGGGACTCTTAAAGCCTCAGTACACACTCATGTGCCCTCTCACATTCCAGGGGACAAATCCCATCACACAGTGGAGCCCAAGATCAGTGGGGAGAGGAAACATACTCTGCATTTAGCAGGAACTGTGAAATCATATGGCAAAGGTCATAGATACAGGCCGGGCCAGCTTCAAGGGCATGTGATCTTCACGGGCTCCATGCTCAGAGGGGCCCTACTTTTAGCTGCATGCTCTGCTGTCAGCTTCATAAAATTCTTCATAACTTTTTGACGTGGAGCCCCACACTTTCATTTTTCACTGAGCCCTGAAAATTATATAGCCAGTCGTGGATACAGGGGATGGTGAAGAAGTGGGAACAATAACGCAATCTTCTCATTTAACAAACTGACTCTGCACTATAAGAGTGTCATATCCATTCCCCACTCCTCCGGCCCCTACTTTCCGGACCACGTCATGGAATTTCTGCAGTGGATTCGGGCTTCACACCATTCAGCTTCACTTCACACCATGCTACCTCCCCTAAGACAGAGGTGTGGCTCTCAGAAGCATGAAAGGGGGAGGGACATAGGTGGTCATTCGTGGTAACATCTGTGGCCTTATCACCACTGGGTTCTTTCCAGAACTAAACCTGGAGCGCCTGCTCCCCCTCCAGCCTGGTTATACCTCCCCAATAAATTCAACACCCCCACCCACCCCCACCCTCTGCCCACTCGTCCTCCTCTTCCACGTCCCATTGTGACTGCTCAATGGAGAGAGTAAAAATTACCCACCTACTAGAGCTTTTCACATCCACAAATGTCAGAAAACCTGCAGTAAGACAGGACACGTTCTTGGGGAAATCAGGAGGTGAGCTGGACAATCAAAGAATTGTCGCCAGAGGGGACATTCCAAACTATGCAACTAAGTACCCCTCTCAAGCAGGCTAACTGGAAACCACCTCAGCCATTAGGTTGTCCAACTCAGTCTAAGGGAGGTGAACATGTCACACCGCCCTGGGACAACCGATCCCAAGGTTTGACGATCTTTATCTCTGCAGAAATTTTCTATTTATTCTCATACCGACCTTGGGCTTTCACTTAGGTTCATTTCCTCTAACGATTCCCTGAATTTGGAGATGCAACAGGAGGCCCCTAGTCAGTCTCCTCCCCGTGAGGACACTTTATGCACCTAAAAGTAGCCATCAAACCAACCTCTGCTTTCCATGTTGCTTCTTGCCCCCAAACCTGTACCTTACAGCGACCCACAGAGCCGACAACACGCTCCGGGTGGGAGAGCTGTGCAAGAGGCAAGTGGCTCTTGCCGTGAAAAAATGAATCATAAGCACAAGTCGACACGAGAATCCTGCAGTTCAGACAATTACCCAAAGAACACATTTTCTGATAATTACAGAGCTAAAAATGGATCTGCTTTGAAAATCCCTTCCTTTCTCCCAAGAAAGCTGAGGAGGTGGTTTAACAACAGTTAGCTGCTGAGATGCATCACATTCCGGGGTGTTTAGGAGACGAGTTCCAAGAAATTTCTTGGAAGGTACAGTTCCCAGAAGGTGGTGCCGCTAACTAGACCCATTAACCCTCCCCACCATCCCCAACGCACTCACAGCTCGGGAATCTGAACTCAGAAGCCCATTCAGAATGAGAGAGATGGGAGGGAGGAGGCCCAGGCCACCCCACCTCGTGACGAAGCTCAAACATCAAATGGCACTTACCTAAGAAAACAGGAGGCGGCGCTAAGAGGGGTGCGCCAGCCAAGCATTACCTCGGCCTGCCTCAGCACCAAGTATATGCCTGGGGATGGCATAAGGAGTTTTAGGCAGCAGCTAAGGGTCAGGATAACAATAATAATAACATTTTGTGGGCTGGCCCCATGGCGTGGTGCGCACTCTGCTTTGGCGGCCCAGGTTCATGGGTTCAGATCCCGGGTGCGGACCTACACCATTCATCAGCCATGCTCTGGGGGCGACCCACATATAAAATAGGGGAAGATTGGCACAGATGTTAGCTCAGGGCGAATCTTCCTCACTAAAACAATCAATCAATAAAAATAATAAGAAGAACATTTAATGCGTACTGAGCATTTATGGGCTAGATACACCTGTATGATCTCATTTAATTCTCACAACAACTCCGTGAGGAGGATTCTGTTCTTATTACCCCACTTCAGAGTCATGCTGAGGGCGACACAGATAACAGGGCAGAGGCAGGTCTGGAAGCAGCAGAAGCCTGTGTACTTCACCACCCCCTACACCACCTTTCCAGTGGAAGGAACCAGAATTGGCTGAGAAAAGATACTAGTAAAAAACAGACTACAAAGAGGGCAGAGGGCATGAACACAAAGAAAAAGGAAGGGATGGGAGACACTGTAGCGTAGAGCTTCTGTGTCAAGAATGAATACAATATAGTATTAAATTTGAGTTTAAAATACAAATCGGATATATGTAGTAAAATATATAAGTTTTGTGCTCTGTCATGGACAGTACAGAAATGAAGAAATGAAAAGATTACTGATTATCTCAGGGGTCCCAACAAAAAGGATTTAGACTGCAGAAGTGCCAGCAAGTTAGCACTCATTCCCTAACTTAATAAATATTTTTCGAGCACCTTCAGCAGGCTACGCACTGTTCTTCCTTCTACATCACTAGATATGTGACAGTGAACAGAACAAAGTCGCTGTCCTTCCAGAACTTGCATTCTAGTGGGAAGAGTCAGACCCACATGTCCGGTACCTAAATGTGTCTGTAAGAATGCAGTTACCAAGTTAAGCTAAAAAACAAGCAAGGGACGGCAAGATCTCAGTGGCCAGACAGTCGGAAATGCTAACAATTTGAAATCACGTTCAGAGAGAAATCACGTGGACATCAATGAAAACGACCTTGGGCATCCAGGACACACAGACACAGAGGTGAGAGCTAACAGAGCCAGGTGTTGACAGGAAAGGTGTGCTGTGAGCACTGGAGCAGCAGGAAGATGCCACAAGGAAAGTGGCTTATGTCAGCCCCAAGTTGGTCACGGGGTGCTGGCCAGTGCGGCTCCCGTGGGAGGCAGAAAACCGTTAGGCAGCAGAATGTGTGGCCAGGCGCAGTTATAACCCCTAAAGTCTTGAAGTCAGTGTTTCCTGTCCTCTGACGTCTCTCTCGAACTTTCCTCCCTGGTCTTTCCCACTAACAATGAATAGCAATTGCGTTCACTGAAGCAACAGAGGCAGGAGCATGGGAAGAAGAAGTAAATAAAAAGGGAAAAAAACAGAAAAGGGTACGTGGAGTACCATGTTTCCTGGAGGAAAATGCCTCAGTCTACTGTTTATAGAAACTTATGCAAACTATATGCAAATTTGCAAACGGTAATGCTAATTCTTGCATAGCCCGCGTACTTTTTCTTGTATCCTTGGCTTTGACCTTTGAAAGGTCCAGGGCTGTGGGCAGCAGGGGACCTTGGCAGAGGCAACAGGCCATTGCCTACTGTCTGGCCACAGTCGATGGTCAAGCAATACAGAAAGATGAGCAAGGCTACGATGTAATGGACATGGATTACCACTCTGCAGAGAATTCAGGATGGTACACTCAGGATGGGGGAAGAAGGGAGTTTGAAAGACAAAGCTCTGATTTAGTCTTCATCCATTCTAGGCCACTTAGGTGTCAGTCTTAAAGAACAAACCAGAGACTATGGATGTGACGGCTGGAGCAGGTTATCGGTGCCCAAGATATTATCTGGGAAAATAACTGACAATTCATGAATTACCCTTAATACCAAATGCCATTTGTTTTTTCTTAATCCTTCTTTATTCCTTGGATCACTAGTATTTTCATATCTGAGCACACTGCCCTGCCGTGACATACAGGATGTGCCATTCTACCATGCTGAGTTTCTTGGAAAACATTAAAGGACAAGTAATTAGCTACAAAAATAAGTAACTTCTTGATTGAGCTCTCTCTCCCAATGAAAGGTATCATTATTAAAATATAGAAAAAATTTCAAAAGCTTGCAAAATTGCCTCCCTTCTATCCATGTTGGCATGGCGTTTGGTTTCTCTCCTATTCATCTAAGTCTCGAAAACTCCCTTTGGGTAAGGGAGTTCCTACGGCCTGTAGCCCAGCCACTCTGGACAAGGATCAGGGATGTCCTTTGGCTCAAGGCTATGGACACTGCTTATCTTACTTGCAAGTTGCTATTCTCTACACTTTGCTGCCAAAAGCATGCACTTTCCTGATTGGAGAGTGACAGACTGGTCTCTCTGCCACAGGGGTTCCCCAGCTATGTCACAGAGCTGTGCTAAATACCAAGCTTGAGCTGCACGTGCAGACGTGAATATGCTTCCTGAATGCGTTTAGGGCAGCTGTGACCTACTGCCCATCCATTCAGAGCAACTCTCTGAATGCTTGCCTCCCCTTATAATAACACCTCCCATCCCGCCCCTCCGACACTCCCAATGATGCTGTCAATCAGACTGCAAAGCTGAGTGGCAGGCTGAAACCTCAAAGGAAACCAGCATCCAGTGAAAGACTTCCCTGAGTTGGGCGGGAGCATTTCTGAGCCCAGCACCAGACAGGAACAAAGGCCGTGAGGCAAACATCGGGCGTAAATGCCATCCATCATCATGCAAAGATAAAGAACCTCTAAATGCAACCAGAGGGCACTTGCAAATATCTAGTGCTGTCCTGACAATTTGATTGATGGCCACCCATTTTAATTAGCTCCTCTCGTCCCCGGAGGTTTTCAAAGAACTGACCACTTGCTCTCACCTCCCCCTCTCCCGCCGCCATGTGCCTTTCTGGGGAGACAGGACTGGAGCAGGGACTGAGCCTCCCCAGCCCCTTTCGCTCTGTGACCACCCATGACCACGTGACGGTCCACCCTCCGGTACCCAGCTCTTGCACTGACCTTCCGCAGAAGGAAGCAGATGCGCTCGATGTTCCTCAGCCGTTCCCTCTATCAGGATGCACAAGAAAGAAAGGAAAAGGGAGGTTAGAGGTTCTGCTGAAAGACCGAGAGAAGCCCCTTCATCCAGCCCCCAGTAGAGGAGGCAGATCCCGCCAGAGACTCCTCCTGGCCAGATGGCTTGCACGCGCACACCCAGTGGCTTTTCCTAATAAGAGTTTCTGCTCATACAACTCAGTAGCAAAAAAAAAACCCAAACAATTAAAAAATGGGCAGAGGATCTGAATGGACATTTTTCCAAAGACAACATACAGATGGCCAACAGGTACATGAAAAGGTGTTCAACATCACTAATCATCAAGGAAATGCAAACCAAAACCACAATGAGGTATCACCTCACACCTGATACAATAGCTATGATCAAAAAGACAAGAAATAACAAGTGTTGGCGAGGATGTGGAGACAAAGGAACCCTGTGCACTGCTGGTGGGAATGTAAATTAGTGCAGCCACTATGGAAAACAGTATGGAGGTTCCTCAAAAAATTAAAAATAGAACTACCATACGATCTAGCAATTCCACTTCTGGGTATTTATCCAAAGGTAATGAAATGACTATGTCAAAGGGGTAGTTGCACCCCCATGTTCATTATAGAATTATTCACAACAGCCAAGATACACAAACAACCTACGTGTCCATCAAGAGATGAACGGATAAAGATGTGATATACATATACACACAATGGAATACTATTTGGCCATAAAAAATGAGGAAATCCTGCCATTTGCAACAACATGGATGGACCCTGAGGGCATTATGCTAAGTAAAATAAGTCAGACAGAGAACGACATACTGTATGATCTCACTTACATGTGGAATCTAAAAGAAAGAAAGAAATAAACTCATAGAAAAAGAGATTAGATTTGCGGTTACCAGAGGTGGCGGTGGGGAGGGAGAACTGGATGAAGGTGGACAAAGGTACAAATTTCCAGTTATAAGATAAATAAGTACTGGGGGTATAATTTACAGCATGGTGACTATAGTTAACACTGCTGTGTGGCATGTTTGGAAGTTGCTAAGAGATTAAATCCTAAAACTCATCACAAGGGAAAAAAAATCTTTTTTCTTTTTTTTTCCTTTTTGTATCTATATGAGGTGATGGATGCTAACTAAACTTGTGGTAATCATTTGCAATATATGTAAGTCATTATGCTATATACCTTAAACTTACACAGCGCTGTATATCAATTATATCTCAATAAAGCTGAAAGAAGAAAAGAGTTTCTGGCTTTTTTCCATCTACCTTGTTGAAGTCATCTGCTCTTAAAATTCTCCCAGCAAACGGCAGGGGTTCAGCTTCCCTCTCAGGCCAGGAAAGGTTTCTGTACTTTTTTCTACAGGCAAAGTCCCTCTCAGCCTCCACGTACCCGTAAGATGCTCAAAGTGCAGAAGGTACACCATGCATTCACTGAGTGTCCTAAAGCCCGCAGTCAGCCCTCCCACTCAGGGCTTGAAGGGCATACGTGCCCTAATTAGTGTCTAAGTTAGGGAAGTTCTCTGCCCGTCAGTATTATTTTTCTAAAGTGAGTGTATTTAGAGGGAGCAATCTCCCCCACCAAATTAGACACCAGCAGCGCCCCCGGGCTAACACTTTTCAAGACGTTGAAGTCCATCTCTGGAATCTGGCTCCCTGCTAAGGGAAGATGCCCTGTGGCTGGGCAGGTGATAATGCTCACATCACACACTAAATGCTGCCTCTCTTTTCCCTGCGTGACTCTCTCGATTTCTGAAGCTACTGGGAACACAGCTGTGGCATCTCCCGGTGCTTCATTACCGAGGCAATGAGATTCCTCATGGATCTGGAGAAGACAGGTGGCTGGGACACTTCAATTTCCCTAACTGAATCATAAATATAGTGATTCCTGTGCATCCTTTAAGCCCAGAGGAAAGAGCCCACATCAGGACGAATTAGCGTCCACGTGGCTAGGAAGACAGACCACGTCCTCCTGAACACACGCACGCATGTACACACACAAACACACACCACAGCTGGGCATGGAGGCTGCCTAAATGGAGGATAATGGGAAAAGGTGTGAGATACCAGGCAGGCAAGAGGGTGGTACAGGACACACACTAGCTCCTTCCTGGCAAGCCAGAGCCTCTGAAGGACAACATCTCTCCCTACTTCACAGTGATATTGAATGCCCAGCTGGAAGGGGTCCACCCAGAGGGTCCGGCAATATTTGGAGCTTTAGGGGATCTTAAATCCAAAGAACCAGTGGACCCAGGCACACTCATTTAGAAAAGCATGATACCGATCAGCAATCACTTGTAACACAAGTCTTCCAAAGCTGGAGTTACCAACCAGTGAAGCAGCTTTTTCAAGCCACCTGATCTTGAAGTGCTGCTCCAGGGGCTCTACAGAGGCCCAAAGAGCTTGAATATGAGTTAAAAGGGGCATCAAAGCGTTTAACTTCCTGCCAGGGAGTAACATCGTAAGAACTGGGAAAATGTGTCTAACACGCTTCCATTTACAGTTTTTATGGGTTTTTTTTTTTTTAAATCTCAGACAAGAATCCTTTCCCTAGTGGCTTCAGTGTGTTCTTGAGATGTCTGGCCTTCCGGGCCCCGGCTACTTAATTAATTCATTAACTAATTAAAAGTGTAGCTTTAATAATAGGAGTAAATGGTTGAGATCCATGCTACACAGCTTCGCCCTTCAATATCCATTCATTCTTTTGTGAACAAATAATTACTGAGCACCGACTGTGTGCAGTTCTATCCTTGCTCTGACCTTTCATAGAAGCTCCCTGGGGAACTTGTGCTAGTCCGGATTTTCTCTGTTCTTGCCATGGTGAGATGGAAACGGGCTCCCTGAAAATGTCTCATGGTTTCTCCAATCATCTACAACCCAGTGGTGAACTTGTGTGATGGAATTAAGCAGCAGGACCCACTTCTTCGCTAGCGTTCACCCTGGGATCATACAAGAAGGCTCTGGGTGTTCTAAGTGAGCTGCTTTCTAATTTGAGCCCAGACTACCAGGAGGGAGGAAAGTGGGCTCTGGACTTCCCTGGCATTCCAGAATGGAAGCACTCCCTCGGACAAGAACAGCGCCGTGCACCTGGTCAATATGGACGAGCCAAGTGTGTAACGTTGGTGCCAAACACAAAAACATCCAGGAAGAAATGAGGCCCAGGGTGCAACCCTTTCAGGCCTGGTGGAGCCAAGTTATCACAGCTGGGTAGGGGGCTGGCAGATGGAAACAAAATGGATTTTAATAATGATCAGTTTCACAAGCTATAGCAAGTTTACCAGTGGATCTTAGGGATTCTTTCAACTTGCAACAGAATTCTGCTTTACACAGTTGACTTGGAAAGAGTTTGGCTCTATTTCATAGAATCAAAGAATTTGATGCCAAAGGGGGCCTCAGGTATTATAAAATCAATTCTCTTAAAGAGACAACGTTGAGTCAATGGTAAGAACGCAGGCTTGGAGACAGGGAGAGCTGGGTTCCAATCTTGACTTCAGCACTCACAAGCTATGAGTCCTTGGATAAGAGTCTATACGTTGGGTCAGTGATGCTTGTGTGGCAGTTACGACAATTACAGATTACATATACAAAGTTCCTAGCACATGGTAAAAACTCAAAAAAATTACAACCCCAGTAATAAGCCTCTACTTTACAGAGGGGGCCACTGAAGACTGGCCCACCAAATGGTACCCCCACTAAGAGCATATCCTTCTTCAGGGAGCCTGCAGCTAAGGAGAACAAAGCTCTTTGTGCTTGTCACTACCTTCCAGGTTAAGATGGTATCATCCTAGGAGAGGGTGATGTTCTCTCTACAACTTGGGGCTGAAAATATCAACAGAGCAATTCAAACAAAACTCGCCTTAGCACTGGAAATCAGGGGCTGGAAGGAATTCAGCTAAACGCAGGCCGGTGAGTTGAGACTGAGAGACACACTCGAGTGAACTGCGTGGGCTCCGTCCTGTGAGCCCAGCAGGCTGCTCTGGAGTTGGGAAAAGGCTCTGTCCACACGCACGGTTGGTCCCTGGCTCTGGGACAGGGGCTGCACTGACCAGAGAGGCAGACAGCCAACACCCACCCCACTCAGCAGGAGTGACGTCCTCCTCCCCTCCCCGCAGCAAGGCCTCTTTCTACATCCATTCCAGGGCGGATGGGAGGGCAGCATGCACGGGCGGACAAGGAAGATGCAGCAGTAAGACTCTAGGAGCAGTGCATGCTGGGGTGGGGGGCCCTCATGTGCTGAACCTGGACCAGACAACCAGAGGGCATCTGAGTCCCCAGTGGGAGGCGAGCTGACCTCTGGCCCATGGAGCCCATCAAGATGAATGCTTCACAGGTGGTAGATGTGGGCCTAGGAGCTTTGTACATCAACCCACTCGGCAAGTCTCCCTTGGGAAACCTGGCCAAGTGCAGAGTGGGGATGACCACTAAGGATGCTCCAATACCCTGCCAATATGTTGGCCAACATGGAGCCTCTCTCTTTGTTTCAAGGATGTGTAACCAAAAAACACCAACAAGAGGCCTTGAGAACTCAACAGCCACAGTACAGCAGACCCTTCCCACCCGGGTTCGTGGGACTGTCACACTTGACTTGCAAGATAAGTTGAGACCTCAGCAGGCCTCAAGAGTGAGAAGTCTCCTCAACAACCTTGAGCCAGGCATGGAGGTCCAATCAGCGCCGAGCATGCTTTTCACTCATCCTGCTTATCGAAACCTCGCCTTCCTTCACAGGCCCTGGGTGGCCTGTGGTGACACCACCCTACCCATCACCAGCACCCACTACTTACCGCATGGACAGGGTTGCACTGGTCTATGGGGCTCTTAAAATCCGTTCTTAACTCATCAAAGGCAATTATCTGAAACAGAATACACAGAATCGAGACATTAGCGCAAAGGTGAATCAGTACAGCACGTCAAAAGCTTTCTGTAGATTTGCTCCAAAATAACGCAGGAGGCAGAAAGAGGCATAGATGACCCAAGACTGGCCAGGAGTTGGTCGCTGTCGAAGCTGGTGATGGACACTTGGGGTTGACTGTACTTTCTGTCTAGTTCTCTTTATGGTTAAAAATCCCCAAAATAGTGAATGGGAGAGATGTTGTTTAAAAAGTACATACTTCCAACTAGTAGATAAGTCCTGGAGACCTAATACACAGTGCAGTGGTTATAGACAACAAAACTACATTATAAACATTAAACTTGCTAAGAGACTAGATCTTAACTGTTCCCAACACTAGAAGAAATGATAATTCTGTGACGGGATAGAGGTGTTAGCCAACACTACAACGGCAACCACGTTGCAATATAAATGTATCACATGAATATGGTGTAGACCTTAAACTTACACAATGTTGTGTGTCAAATATATCTCAATAAAAAAATCCCCACAATAAATTTTTTAAGTTTTCTGTGCTTGACAAAGATGTAGAGAAAACTCTAGTGTGGTGAGGGCGGGTTGGAGTCTGGATCAAGGCACAAAGAATTTAAACTTCAAATCAGCACTGTCAGCTCCTCTGCTTACAGGAAGGGCTGTTTATTTATTTATTTACTTATTTTTCTTGCTGAGGAAGAGTCACCCTGAGCTAACTTCTGCTGCCAATCTTCCTCTTTTTGTATGTGAGCTGCCACCACAGCATGGCCACTGATAGATGAGTGGTGTAGGTCCACGCTCGGGAACTGAACCTGGGCCGTCGAAGCAGAGCACGCAGAACTTAACCACTAGACCACCGGGGCTGGCCCAGGGCTGTTTATTTTTTATTTTTGTTTATTTTGGCAGAGATGCTGATTGGAAATAAAGTGGACAGAAGTCAAGCAAAAGGGAAAAGAGAAAAACAGGAAAGCAGAGTTGACAGTAATAGCAATAACCCTATCTCGAGCAATTCACAGGCTGGACAGCCTGGTCCATTGGGCTTGGGTCCTCAAGTTCATTCTGGACAGAGACTCCGAGCTCCCCTGAGAGCAACAGTTTCCCCTTTTGTCTGGAGGGGAGAATGTTGGAGGTAACCTTTGGCAATCACCGAAGGAGACATGGCACATCCACAGAAAGAACTAACTTCCTAATCCCAGTCACCTTGTCCCCAGAAGGGGGGCTCAATGACAGAACAAGGTGGTATTTGGCCAGTGGAGTGTCCTCTCTTAGGGTATGACTCTCAGCATTGTCTCTCCTGGGCTGCACATAAATGGACATAACCAACTTCCCCACAAAGGCACATGCCAGGGGTCCCTGAACACTTGGCAGAATTGCTGACTCGATGAAGCCCGCACACCACCCCTAAGTGCCCTCGCTCCAGCAACATGGGGCTGAGAGTAAGGATGCAGTGAGGAAAAACAACTTGCTTCCCTCTACAAAGCAGGTATAATTTTAAAGCAGTCACACGTCATTCTGCTTTCAATACTCCTATAGAATTGGGGAAAATTCTAGTATAACTTGTATTAAACAGACACATTTCTATATCATCCCTTGCCAGATAGTTAATTATCCAGCCTGTACTTGAACCTTTTAGGATCAAGAAACTCATCACTTATGGAGGATGCTCAGTCCATTTCTGGCTACCTCTAATCAATCCTTGCCTTCCTTCATTGAACTTACACGTGACTCCCCAAGGCTTCCACCCAGAGTCTAAGCCAGGGTCAGCAAACTACAGCCTGCAGGCAAAACCCAGCCAGCTACCCATTTTTGTACAATCTGAGAGCTAAGACTGCTTTCACACTTTTAAAATCGTTGAAAAAAATCGAAAGAAAAATAATATTGTGTGACATGTAAAAATTATATTATATTCGAATTTGTTTCCATAAATCAAGTTTTATTGGAACACAGACATATTAATTCTTTTATATATTATGTATACTTTTGCACTGCAACGGCAGAGTTGAGTAGTTGCAACAGACACCATATGGCCTGCAAAGCCCAAAATAGTTACTTTCTTACCCTCGACAGAAAAAATTTGCCATCCCCTGATCTATTTTTTCATTTGCCCTCTAGAACTGCACCATCCAATTCAGTAGCCACCATTGGCTATTTAATTTTAATTAGCTAAAATTAAATTAAAAATTCAGTTCATAGCCACATTTTAATTGCTCAGAAAATCACAGCTGTCTAGTAGCTATTAAATAGCCCAGATATAAAACATTTTCCTTCTCACGGAAAGTTCTACTGTACAGCACTGCTTTAGAGGCACGTAAGATGGGTTAAATCACTCTTCCACAAGGAAGTATTTTAAGTATTTTTAAAGTATTTAAAGTATTTTCTGCTACCTTTAAGTATTTTCTGCTATCATGACCCCCGCAAATCTGTCTGCTTCAAGCTAAGTCTCTCCAACTATTATTTACATAAACTGGCGCTAAGCTGCCTCGTCATCCCGATTGCCCTCCACTGATGTTACAGGTTGTATTAAATGTGCATACTAAAATGTGACTGTCAGAACTAAACACCATATTCAAGATGAAGTCAGCTGGCACAGAGAGTAAAAGTATCACTCACCTCCTCTGTTCTGTAGCTTATGCCTCTGTTAACATAACCTGATTGCATTAGCTCTTTTGTGGCCACATCACATCCCTGGCTTCATATTGACCTTGCATTGCCTAAAAGCCCTGTGTCTTTTTCATGTGCTTTCAGTAGAGCTCAGTGCACCTCATTCTGCATGCACATTGTTGGATTTTGGGGGGGCCTAAGCACAGGAACTGACCTTTATCCCTTTTCGGTCCAATCTGTTGAGCCAGGATCTATCTCCCAACTACAAATCCTAATGAACATAAGGTCATCAATATCCATATCCACATTCGCCCTGATGTAAATGTAAACTGAGCAGGACCAACAGCAGAGCCCGGAGCTCGCTATTCTTAGCTCCCCTGAGGCTGGCATCAGCAATCCTTGGGCTTATCATTCACTCACTTAGGAAGACAAGTCACCATATTTTGACCCCGTCAACTGAAACCCCATAACTCTTGGTGCTCCACATATAAGCTCCCCAAGAGGCTAGGGGCCCACGGAGGACAGGAGTCCAGCCCCCACATCGTGGCTGGGACTGAAGACGGACCCGTACAGGTCCCATCCCGAGCCCTGACCTGTGCCCGTGTCCCTGGATAGGTGGGGGGAGGCGAGTCTGGACTGAAGGGAACAGAGGCAGCTGGTGCTTGAAGCAAGAAGACAGGAGCCCCGGGGATTCCGAGCTGCCGGGCTAGGCTGAGGGCAGGCAACCTCCCGACCTGGAGGAAGGCGTGAAGAAAGGAAGGCTCGGAAGTGTAGCTTCCGCCTTTGAGCTCCATGAAATGACAGGTACTTCATGGGTGCTTTCTGATGACGATGATGGCAATAGACACAACAAGGATAAAGGCTTTCAGCACCCCCACCCCCAGTAACTACTCACTAATTAACCCATCCACTCACTTGACGTTCAGTGAGCATCTCTTACACAGAGACACTGGGCCAGCCCCTGGAGATACAAAATCAACCAGATACAGCTCCTGTCCCCATCAAGTTCTGGTCTATCGGGGAGACACGCATGTACACAGATCATTGCATTACAACGTGATAAGGGCTACAGTCAAGATGATTATAATAACGGCTACCAGTTATCACGTGCTCACTATGTCAGGCATTGGGCTACATGCTGTCCGTGCTTTTCACTATTTAATCCTGCGGCCACCCCATGTGGTAGGTACCGTTATTGTCCCCATGTTAGAGATGAAGAAACTGAGACCAAAAGGGGTTACATTACTTTCCCAAGATCACTGCTCTAGTGCCAGGATTCCAACCAAGGCATCTGTGACACTAAAACCTATGCAGTGACCATTACGTTATCCTGCCCGCAAGACAGAGAGAAGGAAGGAAGGATTTCAAGGACATATAGGGTGAGCAACTGTCCCTGTGAAACCAGAGCAAAGCCTCCCAGAAGGGGTGAGGTTTAGGTTACCCTCTTCTTAGCACGAATTCAGAGTTTCCGAGTCCCAGCCTCCTGACTGGTGTCTGAGAACAGAAGACACAGGCAGCACAGCAGAGCGTAACCCTCTGGGGGCTGCAGGCTTCTATGTGGAGCCGAGTCATTAAAATCCGGGATGACTGGGAGCGTGACAAGCATAAGGATGATGCCACGATCCAAGGGCGGCCAGTTCAGTTGAGCTGTACGCACAGGCTAGCTTCTCTGAGCTGCTAGCCATGGAGCCCAGCATCTGACAGTACGAGGCGAACTTTAACTGCTGATCCAATGATAAAATCCCTTCAAATCCCACCCGTTTCTTAAAATTTATTTTTAAATTTACATACAGTAAAATTCACTGTTTTAATTTGTACTTCTCGAATGACTAGTGATGTTGAACATCTTTTCATGGGTTTAACTGCCATCTGAATATCTTCTTTAGTGAAGCATGTGTTCAAATCATTTGACATCTTTTTCTTTCAATTCAGCTGTTTGTTTTCTTATTGATAATTTTTGAGAGTTCTTTATATATTCTGGATACAATTCCTTTGTCAGATACATAATTTGCAAATATTTTCTTCTATCCTGTGGCTTATCTCTTCATTCTTCTTCTTCTTTTTAAATAAGGTTAATTGTGCATGACCACCTCTGCTTAATAACCTGTAAGGAATCTTTTTTTTTTTTTTAGGAAGATTGGCCCTGAGCTAACATCTGTTACCCATCTTCCTCTTTTTCTTTTTTCTCCCCAGAGCCCCAGTACATAGTTGTATATCCTAGTTGTAGGTCCTTCTAGTACTTGTACGTGGGACACTGCCTCAGCATGGCTCGATGAGTGGTGAGTAGGTCCGCACCCAGCATCCGAACTGGCAAACCCTGGGCTGCCGAAGAAAAAAGCGCGAACTTAACCGCTACGCCACCAGGCCAGCCCCTTCATCTCAACAGTATGTTTCTCAGAGCCAAAGTTTCTCATTTTGATACATCAGTTTATCCAATTTATCGGTTTTTCTTTTATGGATCGTACTTTTAGCGTTGGATCTGTGAACGCTTAAAGCCACAATGATTTTCTCATATGTTTTTTTCTAAAACCTGGAGTTTTCTTTATGAGAAGGTTTAAACTACAAATTCAATTTCTTTAATAGATTTAGGACTATTCAGGCAATCTATGTCTTATTACAAGAGCTTTGATAGTTTGTGACTTGAAGGAACTGGCCCATTTCACCCAACTCATCAAATTTACAGGTGGAATTTATATTCAGAGCCACCCTCATTTTCTGTTCCACTTTCCCTCCCTTGTTAGGGAGGGAAAAGGATAGGGCGTCTCCCCACCTTGTTTTCTCATCAAACTGGAGATGGAGGTTTGAGTGAGCACAGAAAAGGCTGGAAAGGTCTTCAGCAGAACAGCAGAAACAAAGCAAGAGAAACAATTCTTCCACAGGCTGCATATCGGACGTTCTAGAGAGCCAGGTCATCTCTGACCGTGCCTGGGGCTGGGCCACGCCTGGAGAAGCGGTGCAAAGGCCAGGCACTGGGATGGGAAATCAGGGGTTTTGCAGGAGACGCCGCACGAGAGGGAGAGAGAAGGTCAGACACCAGGACCTAGTGATGTTCTAGGCTGGAGGCTCCAGGGAGGCAGAGCCAGGGGCCAGGGGAGGCGGCAGAGAAGTCCAGACAGGAAGGGAGCCACATGCAGAGGAACACTCGATGTGAAGCTGTTTCTACGAACACTGAGCCCTGTCCCTGCCACCAATAGGCTTAAGCTAACTCATCCCTAAAGGTCCTGCCCCAGACCCTCCAGCTGCCCCCCAGACCCCAGCCCCACCCCAATCACAGGATCATGAAGCAATGATTCACCAGCCAACAGAAGCCCCCTCTGAGGGGACTCACCAGGGACTAGCGGCCTCCCGTAGCAATGTCAGCCATGCTGAGTCTGCCCTAGGTCTAGACAGCCTCGGCCCCATGGGCCTCAACACCAGGGTGGGGGAGCAGCCTGGACCCACCTCAAGAGGCGAGGAATTATAGAAATACTCTAAAAAGCGTCTCAAGAAGCCTTTCTTCTTTAGGCCCATAGCATTTATAATCAAGAAATTAAAAGTTACCTTGCTTGTCTGAAACAGTTATTTTGCTAAAAATAACCACGCTGTGCTATGGCAAAAACCTTCCTGGAAGAGTAAGAAATGATTGAAATCTCAACCTCCATTAGCTAATGAGTCCCCAGGGCTGCCCCATCAGAGAGTCTAGCATTTGGAGAAGCCTCTTTTTCTCTGGAACATTCTCTCCCCTGTGTTTGCTCCACAGTGTCCTCCAGTTTCTGAAAGGTCTTAGCTGGTTGAACTCTCACGATCTTGCACGTGTACTGCATTATCTTACTGCAATATTCGATCTACACAAGAACCCCATGCACTGCATAGGGATGTCCCCCTTGCGTACAGTCTGGGAAACCGAGCCCCAGCCAGAGCTCTACGTGGCACAATGAGTGAGTGACAGCCCACACCAGGACCAGTGTCCCTGAATCCTGAATCAGCTGATGCTCCATCCAGCACAGTGTGCTGTCTCTCTGTGACTGGAAAGGGTAAAAATAAAGAGATGAGTTACTGAAGATGCCCCAAAATCTCTTGACCAGGCACCCACAATGCACCTGGCCCTGTTCTTGGTTACGGAACACAGCAGTGAGCAAGAAGAGAAGGTCATGTCACCACAGAGGTTATCATCAGGACGGGGGCGGGGGAGAGAATCAGCAAATGAACAAGAAAAATTTCTAAAAATGGAAGGCTGCGTGAATAAAATACAACAGCGTGAATGAAGGCATAGAATTGGGGCACAGTCAAGGAAGGCTTCTCTGAGGAGGTGCCATTTCATCTGGGAGACCTGAATGTCCAGGAGCTGGAAATGGAAAGTTCCAGGAGAAGGGAGTTATGCTACAGAGGCCCTAATGGGGGAACGGGTTTGGCAGGGGTGAGGTGCAGCAAGGCCATAGCAGCTGAAGCCCAGGGATGGAGAGAGACTGGGAAGAGATGAGGTGGAGAGCAAGGACCACCCAAGGATCCCCCTGTGTGGGACTCATCCAACCGCAGCTCCGCAAAGGAGACCTGTGGGCGAGACCTCATTTAGCCCGCCCATTCCACTGGGGATGTGGCCTTTACACGACTCGCAGAACTGAGTGTTTGCTGCTTGTGATGGACGTGACCAAGGGGATATTGAAGAGACAGGTCAATCCGTGTGAAACCAGTGTCAGCTATGCAACCTGAGGAATAGGTGGTGGGCTGACGGTTTTCAGGTCCTTTCTGCGAGGCGGCTAATTCACCCAAACGAGAAGTCAGTATTCAGAGGCAATATGAGAAGAGATCACGTACCATGGCAAGTCAGATCCAGGAGGCCAGAGGATGAATTTGGGGTACCCCACCCCAGTGAGCACCTGGGAATTGGGAGATCCCATGGCCTGAGCCCCCCCCCCAGAATTTCTGCCTGCTGATCATCCACCAACAGGGACAACTCCCTCCCCTCGTGTCTACATTCAGACTCCCATCAGTGGGGCCACCCGAGCAGATGTCTCTCGATTTCTCCATGTTGTGGGTTGAATAATGTCCCCCTAAGAGTCAAGTCTACCTGGAACCTCAGAATGTGACCTTATTTGGAAATAGGATCCCTGCAGGTGTGATCAGCTAGAATGAGGTCCTCCAAGGTTAGAGGCACTAAACCCAGTGACAGTGTCCTTATAAGAGACAGAGAAAGACACACAGAGATGGGAGTGATGCAGCTACAAACCTAGAGCACCAAGGGTTGTCAGGAGCCACCAGAAGCCAGGACGCAAGGAAGGATCTTCCCCAGAGCTCTCAGAGGAAGCAGGGCCCTGTTGTCACCTTGACTTCAGATGTCTAGCCTCCTCCAGAACCGTGACAGAATAAATTCCCATTGTTTCAAGCCACCTGGTTTGTGGTCATCTGTTAAGGCAGCCCTGGGAAACTAATCCACAACATTTGCAAAATATCTGACAGTGCTGCTGCTATGACCTAAGACGGGATCAGGAAGGAATGGCTTTTGGTGACACCAATGAATGTTACTGTGGAAGAAGCAGACAGGAGCATTTGTGACTCAAAATAAATACTTCCCCAGGGAGGCGGGCTTTTATACTCACCCCAAGTCTTCCTGTAAGTCCCCAAAAGGCATGCTCAGAATATACCTCTAATTTAGAAAGAAGCCGGTTTTTTATTTCTTCTCCACGTCTTGTCCCAACAAGAACAATTCCTTCAAAGCTCAGCCCAAGCCTTGGGGCCCCTTCTGAGGCTCAGGAGCTCCGCCAGGTGGGAGAAAGACGGGGGATGGGAATGACCATGACTGTAACACACACATGGCTTATGATTAGTCCTGGTTTTGCCTGACACCGGTGAAGACGTGAGTCCTAACGTCTCTGTTCTGATTCTAAACTGCTACAGACAAGCGTCTGCTAAGCCACTCCTGAGCCCCTAAGAAAGAAGCATCTGCTCCCCACTCATGGGTACCAACTCCTTCTCCGGCCCTTGCTCAGCTCCCATTACCATGTGGTACCTAAAACGATTCAGGGTCTCGGACACCCACCCCACCGCTCACCCCTTTCTCTAAAAAGTGCAACGCCCAGAGTCACAGGGTGGTTTAAATTTTCTGAAGTGTTTCCACATGTTTTATTTTATTTTATGTTCATTTTATGTAACATCCCAAGTAGGTGTGAGACCCGCTTTCCAAACGAAGCATCGAGGAGAATGAGGGGTCATTAGGATGTCCAAGGGCACCCAGCACAAGCGGCAGAGCCGAGACCAGCACTCACCTTCTCTGCTTCTCTTCCGTATGCTTCTCCAGTGGGCCACACAGACTCCCCTTTGTGTAAGGGGAGTGAGGAGGGTTATTAAGGCACCCATCAGTGTGGGTTGCCACAGCAGGCTCAGCACACAGAGCCCGGCCTTCTATGGGCCCCCAATCAAATAAATTGTCTGCTTAGCCCTATACGGCCAAGAGCTTAGAAAAGGAAAATAAACCTTGAACCAGCACAGGGGCTGTGAGCCTAACCTCACCCCGTTTCACCTCTGTGTTAGTCAGGGTTCTCCAGAGAAACAGAACTAATAGGATGTGTACATAGAGAAAGAGATTTATTTTGAGGAATTGGTTCATGGAATTATAGAGGCTGAGAAGTCCAAAATCTGAAGGTTGCTGGCAGGCTGGAGACACAGGAAGAGCCGATGTTGTAGCACAAGTCCAAAGGCTGTCTGCTGCAGAATTCCCTCTTGCTCAGGAGAGGTCATCTTTTGTTCTTTCCAGACCATCAACTGATTAGATGAGGCCCACCCATATTATGGAGGGCAATCTGCTTTATTCAAAGCCCACTGATTTAAATATTAATCTCATCCGAAAACACCTTCATAAAAACATCCAGAATAATGTCTGACCACACATCTGGGCACCATGGCCCAGCCAAGTTGACACATAAAATTAACCATCACAATCCTCCAGTACCAGGGATTGTCACAGGCTCTGGGCAGTGCTGGGTCTGGCCAGTGAGGCTTGGTTAGAAGATCATGACAGAGTGATGGTCCCAGTGGGTCCTATTCTAATGTGAGAAAACATCATGAATCTTGGCATCTGTTGGTGAGCTTGTCTTAGGAAGGAAGCTGCCTTAAAATAACCTGGAAAAAGTGTGTGATCCGGCCTCACAAAAGGATGGGGCTGGGCCAGTTCCAAAGCAGAGACTTAAAGGTCGAGAGCTCCTTGGCCTCTGCAGGAGGAGGGCTGCTGGTCAGGGGAAAAAGGAAACCCAGCCCTTCTGTCAGCCACACCTTCTGTTCTTGGCTTCTCCACCCACAGCCCCATGCCTGGCCCCTCAGTCCCCAGATATTCTTATGTCACATCTTCCTAAACCCTCTCATATCCACCATCCCCACCAATGCATGCCCCACAGGCCCCTCCTCACACCATCACAAATGAGCCACCATTGGCTCCACACCCAGTAGGTGTTCTCCACGCCTCCCTGCCTCACGACAGGGGCTGCCTCTTTAGAGGAAGAGTCCTGCACCTGGAGGAGGTCTCAGGTGAGTCCTGCCCCTGCCAGTGACGAGCCATGTGACCTTGGGCATGTCACTTCACTTCTCCAGGCTGTGGTTTCCTTAGCTATAAAATGGGGACAGCAACCAGCCCGACCTCAACTGGCTTGTGCGCGTGTGAAATGAGGTGACATCGACCATAGCATTAGAGTAAAGAGAAATGAAGAGGATGCTGGCTGAGGAGGCGGAAAGTACCATTATATAAAAGTTGCAACATCGCCTAACAGTTAAGCATATGCCTCTGAGTCAGAACATCTCAGTTCAAATCCAAACTCCACCTCATTTATTTGTGTGGCTGCAGGCAAATTGTTTAACCTCTCCAAGCCTCAGCATCCTTCAGTATAATGAGCAGACAGTAACGGTTCCTACCTCATATTGTTGCTGCGAGGATTAAATGAAACAATGTGCATAAAGCACTGGGCCAACGCCTAGCACAGAGTAATGATAAATATTCATTGTTACTTTTATGACTGTAGTCATTACCATCATGCAGATGTTTGCGCCCCACCTCTCTGGTCTTCTGACTCTCCTCCCTCCCTGGCTTTGAACATCACACAGTCTGAGTCCAGGAGAACTCAGGCACTTTAGGGAAAAAGTGGGGCAGCAGGATGTAGGTAGGAGCCAAGAGCAGCGCCCCTCTGAGGACACGGGTGGGTGAGAAAGCAGCGGGGCCCATCCTGTGCCAGGTGGGAGACTGAGCACGGGATGTTGGGAAGGAGGCTGGGATCAGCAGGTGAGCTGGGAAGGAAGCATCCGCTGCCCCTAGACCGGTCGCTAGACCTAATGATGAGTACAAATTGGGGAACACAGGACACAGGTTAGTTGCCATTGTCGCTGCCAGAATCTACAGACACAGCTGGTTCTGACGTTGCTTCCCTGGTCCCCACCTAGTTAACAGAAAACAAAGACGTCCCCAGAGCCATGCACTTCTGGGACGGAAGCCAAGAGAGCAGGCCCAGCTGACTCGCTCCCGCTGACACTCAGCAGGGTGGTCCCTGGCCCCAGCCAGCAGCCATCCCCATCAGGGTAAAAGCCAGAGAGGAGAGGCCGATGAGGAGGCCCACACACTCCGCTGACTTGGGGTGGGCAAGGCAGCCACTCGGAAGAATGCACGCGGTGAGGGAGGGGTGGGCAGAGGGCAGCCGCCTGTAGCATTCAGGGGCCTTCCAGGACCCACTCAGTCAGGCCACAGCCCCCTGCTCCACCCAGCCCCCAATGCAGCCAGCCCACCCAGCACCATGGCCCACCAAGTCAAGCAGTCAGTCGAGAACCACAGAGGCTGCTCTAAGCAACTGTCCCCAGCCCCAGCTCCCCCGCCTCTCGCCCAGCTTGTGCTCGCTCTGGCATCCTTGGTTCTCAAACAGGAGACTTCAGGAGCAATTTCTGGCTCAAACTGTTTGGTGACCCTCCAGACACCTTTGAGGCCTCGGCCTTCAGCCTCCCACACGGCTCTTGGAATGGCTCCTCCTTCTGGTTCCAATGTCCTCTGCTCCTTTGAGTAAATAAGTAAAAAAGCTCCTCCAATTCCTGCAGTGCCCAAGCTCTGGGGAGATGCACGCACACAAATGAGTGTGGATGTGCATCAGGGAGGTGCCCACACCCCAAAGTATCTTCCAGGAAGATCCATCATTATTCACTCTTGAAAATTCTTACTGAGCATCGCCCATTTGCCAGGCACCGTGGTAGGATCTGGATATACTATCAAAAACAAGGCAGACGGGGTGCTGCCCTTTACCAAGGACAGAGACTCTCTCCTTGACCACACTTCAGTCAGGCCCTTCTGAGCCCTCTTCTCACCCAGGCCTCCACCTTGGGCTTCCATGTCCATCCTTGCAGAGTCTAGATTTAGCAAGAATCCTGCTAAGTCAGCTGAGAGAGAATCCCCACCCTTGATATCCGATCACCCTAGTCTGCCTTCAGCAAGAACCCTGTTAAGTCAGTTTAGTAGGAATCCCCCCCACTTGGTGTCTCCTCTTAATAACTTTCCACCTACCACCCCCGACCCTGCTCTTGGCTCTAAATCCCCACTTGTCCTTGCTGTATCCAGAATTGAGTCCAATCTCTCTCCCCTTTTGCAATAGTCTTGAATAAAATCTTCCTTACTGCGTTAACAAGTGTCAGAATAATTTTTTCTTTAACACCAACCTCTATTTCATTCTCTTGTGTTAACTCAGAAAAAGCAACAGCCTCTGAGAGTAGCAGCCTATTAAAGCAAGGTGTTGATTGTTCTGAATGCGAACGTGAATTATTTAATCAAATTGAAGGTAGAATGTGCATAAAGTGAGCTCCCGAGCTCTGGGCCAGAACTTAAGTGGTTCTTTTGGGTTTTTTGTTTGTTTGTTTGTTTGTTTGTTTTCTGAGGAAGATTGGCCCTGTGCTAACATCTGTTGCCAATGTCCCTCTTTTTCTTTTTTTTTTTTTCTCCCCAAAGCCCCAGTACATAGTTGTGTATCGTAGTTGTAGAGTTGTAGCTCTTCTATGTGGGATGCCCCCTCAGCATGTGAATAGGTCCGCACCCAGGACCCAAACTGGCGAACCCTGGGCCACTGAAGCAGAATGAGCAAACTTAACCACTATGCCACCGGCCCAGCCCCCCAGAACTTATGTTTTTAGGAGTTGGTGGTGGTGCATTGCTTTTTGTTTGTTTTGAGATCCTCAGGGGCAGAGGGTGAATTAAGCATACTGCTTAGTTCACAACACATTATTAAGGCCCTCTCTTATTGTATTTATTCATTCATTCATTCATTTCCTTTTATCCCCTTAGCCTTTTCCCTCCATCCAAGGTGATTATTGATGATTATTTTGAATGTGTATCTTTCTCTTTGTTGTGTTCTTACAAACTGCATATATGTTTGTGTGTACATATTTTTTTTTAAACATGACAGCAAATTCTTTGGCACTTCTTTTTTTTTTGAGAAAGACGGGCCCTGCGCTAACATCTGTTGCCAACTTTCCTCTTTTTCTTTTTTCTCCCCAAAGCCCCAGTACATAGTTGTGTATCGTAGTTGTAGAGTTGTAGCTCTTCCATGTAGGATGCCACCTCAGCATGGCAGGATGAGCAGTGAGTAGGTCGGCACCCAGGATCTGAACCAGCGAACCCCAGGCAGTGGAAGTAGAATGCATGAACTTAACTGCTATGCCACCGGGCTGGCCCATTGTGTGCACATATTTTTAACTTACCTAGCTTGTATCGCATTCTCTTCCTTGCCTTCTGCACTCAGCAGCACAGTAAAGGGCTCCGTGGGTGTAGCCACTACATCACGCCTATCCATACTCCCAGTGAGACCCAGACTGACCTGACCTTTGCACCTCAAATAATGCTACAAACCCCCATGCATGCTCCCCTAGGTATTGGTGTGGCAATTTCTTTGGGATTTATACTTAGGAGTGGAACTGCTTGGTTGTGCATTTATGGTTTCTTTAATAGAACTACGTGTTCCCCGACTGGCTACACTCCCACATCCCTGCCAACAACTGCCAGCACCCAGCTTTCTAGGTTTTGCAGTCTGATAGGTTTTCAGGGACCTTTTTGTTGTTTTAACTTGGATTTCTCCAGTTAGAGGCTCTCTTCATATAACAGTTAGCCTTTTGGGTTCCCTTTTCTATACATTGCCTGCTTAGCTGCTCTGCCCATTTTTCTACAGGATTGTTGTCTTTTTTCTTTTTGATCTGACTTGTTGCTAGTTTGTCATAGATGTGAGTTCTCTTCCAGTGTTAGACATATTGAATCCCTTCTCTCATCTGTCACCTGTTAATTAACCCTGTGGCATACTTCACTGAATGGAAATCAATCCATTTTTGCCTTACGTTTTATACTTTTTCAAGTTTTAAGTCCTTCCTTGCCCCTAAAACACAAAGATAGACTCATATTATTTTCTATTTTCTTTATGAAATTCTAGGACTTTAATTGGTCCTTTTGTCTCCTCCAACACCAGTATCTGGGGCTGTGCTGAGTCAACTCAGGGTATCAGAGTTCACTGAGTATTTAATAAGCACCTACTGTGTCAGGCGCTGTGCTTGGAGCTGCAGATAGAAGACAGGACATGGTCCCTGGACTTAATGACAGGAGTGGCAGGAGATGTGACAGGAGATGAGGAGTCAGGAAACAGCAACTCTAAAGAGAAGGAATGAAATTTCAACTTGCAAACTGCCTGGAAGAGACTCGCCTCTGTGAGCATATGTAAATCATATGCAAGTCAGATGAAAATGACTATGCAAATATTTGTGTGGCCCAAGAACAGCCTAGAGAGGACCATCCTGGGGGCTTCAGAATTCCTTTCCCAGTCTAGAAGGGTTTGTACTAGGACTTGAATGCTAGACTGTAGCATTCAAGCTCTCAAAACCAAATGCGGAATCCACCTCCAAGAAAAAATCAATTAAATGTGCTCAGCTCTGCCTCCATGTGCCCAATGGGCAGACCACTTCCTCCTGTGGGAGATCAAAATTGGCCACTCTGAAATATGTCTCTTTACCTTGATTATTTTCTCTGACGGACATTTGACCTCCCCCAAACTGCCTAAAAAATTTAACATAGAAGACCTGATTCAGGAAGGAGCCACTGTCATATGATGGGTGTAACAGAATGTAAAATAGACGTTACAATAGGAAAGGCACCAACAAGCCCATCTTATCAAAAATTCTGTCTCTCCCGGGCCACATTCTCTAGGTGACCCTGAAAAGAGTTGTCAGACAAACATTTACATTTATAAGGGAAATCTCCATTTGTAAAGGTATCTCCCTCTCTGTACTGGGAGGGGGGGGAGGTGTGGCCTTATCTGTGGAAACTCTTATCAGTACAGAAGGAGAGGACTTAAATCTGCATAGCCTTGATTACTGTGATTTCTGTCTCCCTTTTGTCTCCCTCCCCACCCCCAACATCCTCCTTTGTCTTTAGCTGAAGATGGTATTTAATGATGAGAATCTCTGTCATTTTGTTGAGAAACTCAGTTTCCCTGGTTTCTCCCATATATACATGTTATTAAACTCGGTATTATTTTCTCCTGCTAACCTGTTTTTTAATTATTTGGCCAGCCATAAGAACCTTAAGAGAAAGGGTGGAGGGTGATTCTCTCTCTTCCCCAACACTCGTAAAGCCATTTTGCGGGAGCCGTTTCCTCCAAACCTGCACAAACCCATGAATGAATCTGGCAACCGAAGGGCGAGCTGTAGCTGTCTGTGGAAACCTACATGGGCTGCTAAGACTCTTCTGGTAGCAAATGCCCCCGTAATGATTTCCTGCAGAAAGACCCCCCCACCAGGGGGATACCTGCACACTTTGTTTACTAAGGCTTTTAAAATAGCACCATCTGCTTTGGGAAGTCTTCAGAGCCAGGCACTAAAAACTGAATAATTAAAATACTTGAACAGAAGAGCAGCAACTACAGTATCAAATGAGAATAAAACCAAAATGCCCCTGCTGGCCCCCTTTCCAGAGCAGGGCAGAAAGCAGGATGGTTAACTTCACAGCGAGCGCACGGCACCACCCCACCTCCCCACCCTCACTCTCTCTATGTCCACGCAAGGTAAACAGCCTGGGTTCCCGGAAAGGGTATTGCATGGGAGTCAGGTACCTGAGTTTGCACCCTGACTTTGCCCTTGACTGTGACGTTGGGCAATCTTGACTATGACGTTGGGATCGCTCTTGTGTGATGGTGGGCAACCTCTTTGCCCCCTTCTGCCTCAGTTTCCTCATATGCACAATTAGTGCATTCAATTGGATCAGCATTTCTGAATATGGAACAAGGATGGGAAGCATTTCAGATTTCTTAGGGAAGTTGTCACAATACACGGGGCACAGGCTCCGCCCTGGATCTGCTAAGTCACACCTGGATGATGGCACTGCCGGGGCCATTGAGAACTACCTGACTCTCCCTCCAGCTCTCACGTGCTCTATGTGACTTAGAGAATGTTATCACAACACGCCACCTGCGGCATCCTTCAGACAATAAGAGCCCAGCATGTTAGCTTCTTTGGGAACTCCAGACACAATCCTCAAGTTTATCACCAAGTCTTTGACCTGTAGATACCATTCCATGGTGTTGGGAGAATGGGAAAAAAGCTGTAAATCTCTTTGCAAACACAAACATCTTTAACATAATAACTTAGATCTATAAACCCTAATTCAAAAACATAGCTTTGATCTCAAAAGTGAGTCCCAGTACATATACATATGCAAACAATCCCGTTAGGTCATGAGTGCCCCAGGGTTACAGGATGCGATGCTCCAGGAGAAGACACACTGTTTTGTTCATTGCTGCTGTGAGATAATAAAATATATATATATATTGGTCTCTACTCCCGTTCCTGGCACAGAGCTCCTAAAACCCATGTAATTTCCTAAGTGATAAGAATAGTAGGAGCATCTCTTGTTCTAATATTTGTCTTTGACCCCATCCTGACACAGGGCTCCTAAAACCCTTGTAAATTCCTAAGCGATAAGAGCAGGAGGAGCATCTTTTATTCTATTGAGGCGACTCTGGGTGGGCTCCTGGATGGCTCCTGGATGGGGGCTGGTCACCAGAAAGACCAAGCCATGATTAGAAGCTTAGAATTTTCAGTCCCACCCCCCCACTCTTCAGAGAGGGGAGAGGGACTGGAAATGAGTTAATAACTGATCGTGCCCACGTGAGAAAGCTTCCATAAAATCCCAACAGTATAGAGTTTGGAGTGCTCCCAGGCTGGTGAACACATCCATGTACCCAGAGGGTGACACAGCCCAACTCCACAAGGACAGAAGCTCCTGTGCTCGGAACTCTCCCAGATCTCACCCTATGTATCTCTTCATCTGGCTGTTCATCTGTATCCGTTATCAGATTCTTTAATAAACTGGTAAATGTAAGTGTTCCCCTGAGTTCTGTGAGCTGCTCTAGCAAATTAATCAAACCTGAGGAGAGGGTCATGGGAACCTCCAATCTGTAGCTAAGTCAGACAGAAGTTGTGGGGGACCTGGGGACTTACTACTTTCAACGGGCATCTGTAGTGGGGTGCAGTCTTGTGGGACTGAGCCCTTCACCTGTGGGGTCTGATGCTATCTCCAGGCAGATAGTGTCAGAACTGAGTTAAATTGTAGGACACCCAACTGGTGTGGCAGAGAATTGCTTGGTGTGGGGAAAAAACCCCACACATTTGTAGATCAGAAGTGAAGTGTTTTGTGTAGTAAAGGAGACACAACAGGAGGGAAAAACTGAGGTTTTTCCTCATACAGGTGCATCCCCAACACCTGGATCAGGGCCGGGCACACAGCAGTTGCTCAATAATATCTCCTGAAAGGATGCACGAACGCCTTTACCCGTCTTTGCATCCCTGGCCCAGCGCTTGCAGTAAATGTTAAATGCATGCACCAATAAACATGAAGCATCTTAAACTTCTCAAAATATTTTTATAAATACTCCATTAGTTGATCACAACCACCCACCCAGCTCTTGTTGCAGACAAAGTGGAGGACGTCCTTCTAACCGACACTGTCTTCCTAGGTGCGTGTGTGTGTGCTGAAGGACCCATTATCTCTGCACTAAAGATGGCACCCTGGGGGAATCCAGTGTACAGGAGGGCAGTTCCCTGAGGGGCAGTCACGTGTCCATCCATCATGCAGTCACATGTCCATTCATCATGCAATCATGTGTCCATCCAACATGCAGTCACGTGTCCATCAATCACACAGCAGGTCCCAAGATTTGGAACCTCCATCCAGGTACTCTCCTCCAGATCCACTAATTAACCAACTGAATTTACCCATACTCAGGAGGATGTAAGAATACACTACCTTATAAAAAATTATTTCAGGTGGCTTATCAGAACTATAAAATAATATAGTTCACTATAGTCACTACAAAATGAAATAGTAAATATAAAATATTTACTATAGTGAATAAAATATTCACTATAAAATAGTGAAAAATAATTGAGAATAAAAAGTAGATCCAGAAAAAAATTCAAGCTTGAATAAAATGTAAAAGTTGAGAGGAGGAAATACACACACACACACACGAAGACCTTAGGATGCCAAAATTGACTTGAACATTTGAAAATTGGCTTGAAAATTTGGATCTAAGCTTCCCAGAAGCTAAAGTGGAATGAGAGATCAGTTATATATTCTCAACATCCATAGAGAGAAAGGGTACCAGTTCCTCAGAGGAAACAAACTATCCCCACAGACATATCTAAAAAGTATGTACTGCACATATTTTAACCAATAGAGGACACACACACACACACAACACAGCAATAGATATTAGATTCCCCCCCCCACTGGGAAAGACTCGCCCTGAGCTAACATCTGTTGCCAATCTTCCTCTTTCTTTTTTTTTGAGGAGATCACACTATTCTAACATCTGCCAATCCTCCTTTTTTTTTTTTTTTTTTTGCTGAGGAAGACCGGCCCTGGGCCAACATCCGTGCCCATCTTCCTCCACTTTATATGGGACGCCACCACAGCATGGCTTGCCAAGCAGTGCGTCAGTGTGCGCCCGGGATCCGAACCGGTGAACCCCGGGCCACCGCAGCGGAGTGCGTGCACTTAACTCCTTGCACCACCAGGCCGGCCCCCTTCCTCTTTTTTTTTTTTTCTCCCCAAAGCCCCAGTACATAGTTGTATATTCCAGTTGTAGGTCCTTCTAGCTCTTCTATGTGAGCCGCTGCCACAGCACGGCTACTGACAGACAAGTGCTGTGGTTCCATGCCCAGGAACTGAACCTGGGCTGCCAAAGCAGAGTGCACCGAACTTTAACCACTAGGCCATCAGGGATGGCTCAGTATTAGACTTCTTATCATAGCATCCCTCAATAGTGGCTGAGAACTCAACACAAAAGTGTGACTCAGTCAGGGGCCGGCCTGGTGCCACAGCGGTTAAGTGCGTGTGCTCCACTTCGGGAGCCCAGTGTTCATAGGTTCAGATCCCTGGCACAGACCTACACACCACTTATGAAAGCCATGCTGTGGCAGCATCCAAATAAAGTAGAGGAAGATGGACATGGATGTTAGCCCAGGGCCAATCTTCCTCCGCAAAAAGAGGAGGATTGGTGACAGGTGTTAGCTCAGGTCTAATCTTCCTCAAAAAAAAAAAAAGAAAAAGAAAATGTGAACTGATACAGCCTTTGGAAAGCAATCTGATGATACCTATTATTAATGAAAACACACCTCCTTCACCCAGCAATGCCCCTCCGAGGGATCTAGATCATTGAAATAAAGGCAACAGTAGGTAAAAATGGATGTCCAAGCACTGTTTGAGGTGGTAAATAACTTGAAACACAGTAAATGCCCATCAATAAGAGAATGACTGAGTAAGCAGTGACGCATCCCATCCACGGCATATGATCTATACCAGTGAACTTAGAGGGTCTTCCTTGAGTTATTATGTAGTGAGAAAAGCAAGATGCAGAAAAATTTAAAACCAAGACACATCTTAAAAAAGCATTTGTGGGGCCAGCCTGGTAGCATACTGGTTAAATTTGCACACTCCGCTTCGGCGGCCCAGGGTTCACAGGTTCAGATCCTGGGCGTGGACCTACTCACTGCTCATCAAGCCGTGCTGTGGCGGCATCCCACATACAAAATAGAGGAAGATGGGCACAGATGTTAGCCCAGGGCCAATCTTCCTCAGCCAAAAAAAAAAAAAAGAAAGAAAGCATGATATAATTCTATATAATTCCATTTATGTAAAATTATGCATGTGTGCGTCCATAAAAAGATACATGAGGGGCCGGCCCCGTGGCTTAGTGGTTAAGTGCTCACGCTCCACTACTAGAGGCCCGGGTTTGGATCCCGGGTGCGCACCAATGCACTGCTTGTCAGGCCATGCTGAGGCAGCATCCCACATACAGCGACTAGAAGGATGTGCAACTATGACATACAACTATCTACTGGGATTTTGGGGAGAAAAAGGGGAAAAAAAAAGAGGAGGATTGCCAATAAACGTTAGCTCTGGGTCGGTCTTCCTCAGCAAAAAGAGGAGGATTAGCATGGGTGTTAGCTCAGGGCTGATCTTCCTCACAAAAAAGAAAAAAAGATACGTGAAAGTTTGGTCACCAGACACCTATAGAGGTGATCACTAGGTGGTTTCCTTACAGCATTCCTGTATTGTCTGCATTTTTACAATAAGTATGAATTGTTCTTATAATCAGGAAAATACCCCCCAAAGCTATTTTACTGTTAATTTTTTTTATTCACCTGATTCTCTACCTCTATTGTCACTCCAAACTCACCACTTCCAACCAAACGAACCACATCATAGAGAGAGTTGCCCACTGCACCAGGCTCAGTGTTTATTAGTCTTGATGTGTGTGTGTGTGTGTGTGTGTGTGTGCACGCTCTCTCACGTTCTCTCTCACCCAAGCCCACCGCCATCTGAACAAGCCATGGAGTACTGAGGACGTGCGCCAGAAGACCCATGGAGCCAATGTCTGTACTGAACACGCAGGCTCCATACCTACCTCCTCGTCTTTGCCCAAAGAGCCCAGATCTTAAACTGGGCTTGTCGGGGGCCCTGCCTGATTTCCGGCAGCTCGGGGGCTCCACCAGAGAGCGGAGGAGACTTCTCCTCAAGTACCACCTCAGGAACTGGGTTCTCACAAATCTTTTCCTGACCTCTACTTCCAAGAAGAGAGTTTATAAGGCCTCTAAAGCCTCATGTGAATAGAAAGCTGTTTATGAACAGCTTGCCGACTTGCTAAAAGGATTCTTGTTGTCGTGGCTGTTTAAATTGGAACATTCCTTCCTTCCACTGCCCACCCCACCCCCACGTTTTGCCAACACAACAGCCCCAGAGTCCCAGAGCCAAAAGCAGAACTAGACACAAGGGCAGCAGGGCTGGAGTGGCTATCCTGAGTAAGGGGGCAGGGCCAGGCCCCTTGGATCTGGTGCTTCTTTGCATATAATTTACATAAATTTGCATGTCAGTCTCAAGAGGCCTCATCCCAAGTATTTAAAATCAAATTGGTTAGTTTGTGCAACTTCTTGGAAGTATGTATCCAATTAGCCTCCCTGCTTGGTAAGGGTCCAGGGACACTTCTGTCCCCTTGAAACGTGACACTTGGGCAGGGAGTGCCCTGGCCCACACTCCTGAAAGTCTTCACTGGGGAGGTACCCCATCAGCGGGAATAGCTTATCCAGCTGAGGGTGTGGCCAGTGTGGTGTTGGGGACTTGTCTCTTTCAGGACACTTAGGTTTATGTGCAAACAACACAACACCCCCACACAATGCTTCGTGCCTGCAGAAGAACACCTTTGTAGATAATTAATTACACATAATACCTCCTGGCCATGCGAGCACCTTGAGAGCAGGAACCACACCTTGCTTACTCAAAATTTCTGTTAATTCAAAGACCTCTAAGATTCCATGAAGGACAACGTTTATGTGTGGTTATCATTCCACCCGGCTCTCTAAACTTGCAGGCACCTCCTCAATTTTGATTTGCAACAGAGAGAGTGGAAAAGCGGTGAAAGGCAAGGTAGAGTCGAGGCAAATGTTTTAGCCCTCACAGCGTAAACCCTGCCCAAGCAGACACTGCATTTGGTGGCCTGGACTGGAGGACTGATCATTTTGCAATTAACAGAGGAGGAGCCGCTGGGGATTTCTTTGCTTGAGCAAAGTTTCCCCCAAGTTTCTACCCATCTAAATGAAGCCAAGTAGATTTCAAAAAGCACTACAGAGAACCCTGCCTTGGGTGTTAGAGTTAATATGGGATTCATTATTCATCCAATAAACTAAACTGAGCACCTATTATGTACCAGGATTTTAGGTATATATTAGTGTGTTAGTTTCCTTTAGCTGCTGTATGAAACTATCACAAACTCAGTGGCTTGAAATAACACATATTTATTATTTTACAGTCCTGGAGGTCAGAATTCTGAAATGGGTCGCAAGGGGCTAAGATCAAGTGTCAACAGGGCTGTGTTCCTTCTGGAGGCTCTAGGGGAGAATCCATTTCCTTATCTCTCGAAGCTTCTAGAAGTGGCCTGCATTCCGTGGCTGTGGCCCTCAGCCAGCAATCACACCACTGTGACAACCGCTTCTGTCATCACACCCCCTTCTCTGACTCTGACGCTCCTGCTTCCCTCTTAAAAGGACCCTTGTGATTATATTGAGCCCACCCGGATAATCCCCCCATCTCAACATCCTTGATTTAATCACATCTGCACAGTCCCTGTTGTTATGTAAGGTAACAGAGTCACTAGGGTTCCAGGGACTAGGGCATGGACATCTTTGGGGCCATTACTCTGCCTCCCACAATTGGTGAGCACCATACATAAGGGAAGCCCCACCACTTATGGCTGGCTGCAGAGGCCAGGGAGTCTGAAAGGAAGAAACTCTCAGAACAAGGGACATGGATCATTCACAACTGGGGATAAATTGTAACTCAGGACTCTGGGCCTTCCATTTCCCTCTCCAATAAAGGGCATTTGTAGTGGGAGTCGGAGCTCATGCACATAGTGGGGCTGAGAACCTCCCTGCTCCTCCCCTCCAGGAAGGAACCATTACTAATCTGAGTACAGACCCTGACTAGGCTCTGCTCACTGGTGGGCAGGGCCACTGGGCACTTAAAGCTCACTGGGCACAAAAAGCCCTTACATGTTGGTCCTCTCTCCTGGGCCAGATGCCCTCCCGTCTTACTCAGCTCTCCATTACACCCTTTGGGCGTGGAGGCTAGCTGGTGATAAAACTTGGATTAGAGCTTACAGGAGGTACGACTCCCACTTGGGCATTAAACATGAGCCCTGGGCTCCAGTGCAGCCTTGCTGGAGCCCTCTGCACTGGGGAGACCTGAGCACAGCCCTAAGTCATGATGAAGCAGTCCTCATTCCCACTGTGCTACTGTTCCTTATATCTGTATCTTCCCCAGAAACACATCCAGGAGAAGTGATAGAAAATTCAGATATTCCTGCATCGCTAGCTCTAATATCATCTTAATAAGCAAACTTCTCCCCAAGCCCAAACAGTGCCTTTGCTCCTAAATGACTCTGAAGAATGAGGACTGCCTATTACAGTACCCATGCTAAATAGCCATTTGATGGGTGAGTAAATGAAGGGAAAAATATCTCCCTATGTTCTTGTCCTGGTGAACTCCCTATGTTCTTGTCCCACAGGTTCTATTACCATTTCTAGACTGATCACTTCCAGCTGAACAGCTTCACTCTCTCCCCAACTCCAGACCCAAAGTTTCTGCCCCAAGGTACTCTAAAACCTCACACTGAACAGGCCCAGAAAAGAACTCATCAACATACCTCAACAAACCCAAAAGCTCCTGCCCATTTCTGTAACCGGCACTCCTCAGGTCGAGAGCTTCAAAACTTCAGCTAATTTAAACTCTTCCCTCATCCACCTGCTACTGATCCATTAAGCCAGCCTGACCCCCCCCAGACCCTGTACCTGCTGGCTCATTATGCTGATCTGGGAACACCAGCGGATGCACCGACCATTTCCTAAGGTATTTCCTTCCTCTCTCCACCACGATGCTCGCTTCCAACCTGCTTTCCCTTTGACCTCTCTGCCACCCAGCCACAAACTCTCGGCCCTGGGGGCCTCAGCCTCCATCCTAGCCCTTGTCTTCTCCAGAATTGGGGTTGTTGTTTTTAACAGACTACTTTTTAGAGCAGTTTTAGGTTCACAGTAAATTGAGGGGAAGGTACAGAGATTTCCCATATACCTCCTGCCCCCATATACGCACAGCCTCCCCCATTATCAACATCGCACACCACAGTGGTACCTTTGTTACAGTTGATAAACCTACACTGACACATCATAATCACCCCAAGTCCATAGTTTACATTAGGGTTCGCTTTTGTTGTTCTATGGGTTTGGACAAATGTATAACGACATGTACCCACCATTATAGTGTCATACAGAATAGTTTCTCTGCCTAAAAATCCTCTGTGCTTCGCTTGTTCATCCCTCTCTCCCCACCAACCCTTGGCAACCACTGATGTTTTTTATGTCTCCACAGTTTTGCCTTTTCCAGAATGTCATATAGTTGGCACCATACAGTATGTAGCCTTTTCAGATTGGCCTCTTTCACTTAGTGATATGCATTTAAGGTTCCTCCATGTCTTTTCATGGCTTGATAGCTCATTTCTTTTAAGTTCTCCCATGTTTTGGAGCTTTACTTTCTCCTAGGGGTTCTGACCCAGCTCTCTGCTTTGGTTCTTCTCATGACTCTCAGTCTTAGTTGAGAACTTCCTCCACGGCCTTGGGCACACAGAACCCTGCCCCTGCCAGGGACAGCTCAGCCAACTCCGCCCACCCCTAGTCCCCAGGCCCAGGCAGCAGGGTGGTCAGACACTCTTGCTTCACCTCAACATTCCCCACTCGAAGTTCAGGCTCCATGGCCCAGCCAAACCACACTACTTGAGGGTTCTCTCAAATACATCCTCACCATGGGGACTAATCCCTCCATCTTTCTCCTCATCTCCATCTGTCAAAACACTCAGGCCCATACAAATGCCACCTCTCTGTGATGCCCCTAATCAGAGGTGACCTTGATTTGAAAGTCCATCATGGACCTGTGCCGCCTTATGCTATAGTCATTATCTTAGACTGTCAGATCCCTGAGGACTGGGCCTTTATCTTACTCTTTATATCGCCTACAAGTCCAAACACAGTGACTGACAGATGAGTGCTCAATAAATATGAAGAGAATTAAATACAACTGGTTTCCCTAAAGGGCTACCCAGCACAGGGCTAAAAATATCCTGTACATTGCCAAGGGCAAGAGATTACCTGATTTATGAATTAAACATGGTCCATGCTTCTCTTCTGCATCTCCCCATTGCTTCCTGCCCGTTGGCCATTTTGGTCCTTATTAACTCCTTCAGGGAACAATGGCCAGGAACAGAGAATACACCACAACATAAATTCCTCCATTTGGGGGGAGGGCGGTGGGGAATGGTGTAAATGAACTGAATTTTGCATGTGCTTTTCTTTGGATTTTTAGGCTATAATACATATAAACATCCACGGCCACAATGGGCACACGCTGCCATAACAGCCTTCTGGACTGTAACTGTTCCATGTGTCAACACCCTAAACTGCACCAGGGCCTAAACCTCACGACCCTCTAGACTTTGGAAATGTGTACTTTGGAGCACAGAGACTGTGTCACACACATGTTTATTGGTGAGCTGCACAGCTCAGAGCAACCTGACTTCAGAGCAGGTTGAAAATGCCTGACACTGCTGGCTTTGCATCCTCCATGGCAAGTTCCGGAACAGGCAGGTAATCCTGCACAGTGCTGAGCAAAGGAGCAAGGGCAATGAGGCCACACCAAGTCTCTTTGTCACTTCTTTTTGGATTTCCCTTCCAGATCTGGGTCAGCCACCTTTGGGGACCTGAGTACCCACAGCAGTACCCAGCAGTGACCAGACACCAAACAAGGCAAAACCTCAGAAAGTAACACAGGAGAGAGGATGGGGGAGTGGGGGGCAAAAGAAGGAAAGGAGCAGCAGGGCAGAGGGAGAGGTGGTGAGAGAAGAGAACAAGAAAAGGATCAAACATGGCAGGGAGACCTAGAACCTAAACAGTTTCCTTGGTAAGACCACGCCCTCTGAGTATTTCCTCTCCTTTAAAATAAAAAAAGCCCAGTACTCAAAGAGAAAGAGAGCAGTTTCATACTGTTCACTGCTCAGAGTGGTGAGGGAGCTGCTGTCACCTGCCATAAACACTCCTCACACGGGATCTACCATGGTCCCATTTTCCTTAGTCAGCCACACGGAGACCTCAGCCACTGCCGGCACGAGGTCTCTTAGCACAGGAACAATCGTCATTCTCCTGCGCCCCCAGCCCAGATGTGCAAGCACTTGGCTGCTTATGCATCTATTGCTTAAGCAAGTTTTCAGGACATCATTTGCCTGCTCTCTGGATTTCTCAGACCCTTGAACTGGAAGCTCCCAGTTGTTGTGCAAAACCTTGGCCCTCTAGTGGCAGCGGCTGAGCATTACAGCTTGGTGGAGAAAAAAACTCGGTCTCAAATGGAAGACAAGCCTGTTTAGAACAGTCAAGTGTCTTTGGGATAACAGTCACCCACTTGCAGCAGCCAGGAAAAGCTTACCTAAGAATGGATGAGATGAAAGACATGGAGAAGGGTTATAGGGATGCTCTTTTCCTCCCTAGAATTGTAGAATTTTTTGCAATTCAGCAAAGACATCCTGTCCTATGCCAGGAAGAATGTTAGAGCCGAAAGGTCCCTCAGACATCATCTAGTCCAGCCCCACTCTCTCCGATAGTCTGTCATCTATCTCCATAGCTACCACTTTGGATGTAAAATTATCTGGTAGAGATATTTACAATCTTTTCCACACATTCATTGGCCAAGCACTTGTTGAGTGCCTGCACACAGCAGGCTAGGTGCCGGGGCAATGGCTAACAACAGCAGACCTGGGCCCTGCATTCATGAAGCTGTCAGTCTAAGAGGTCCCTGGGGTCACTCAGCCTCTACCACAATTCTGACACCCCAGTGGATTCACCAGGGTTGCACCGACACCCACCTCCCAGCTTTGGAGACATCGGACTTGCTCCCCTGGGCTGGGTTTCCTCCCGAGGTGCTCAAGCATTTGGGCCACAGTCAGGAAACTGCCTGGCCTTCAGTAAGGCAGGCCCTCGCCTCATTCACCAAACCTGCCTCACTCGGTCTCGCTCCCATGACTCACCTTCCTGCCGGGGTCACTGTGCCAAGCTAACTGGCCTGCAGGGACCAAAGCAGGACGGGTGTGGTTATATTTAACATCTGATTGTGTTTTCTCCAGTTTCCTTAAGTGTAGATGAGCCTCCGCATAGATGTGGCTGGAATCGATGTCCAAAAGACAGTGCAAATAAGATGCTCTGTGGACGCAGCAATCACCACACCGGAGTGCAAATGCTCATCTCACGTGCATTTTCTCCAGCAGCCTGCCATCTCCTTCAGAGCAGCCCTCGTTTTGGTCCTTCCTATATTCCCAAGGCCCAGGATCCTTGGTAGGTATTTGATAACTGTGGAATGAGTAAATGCATTTGAGGACAGGAACATAAGAGCTAAAATCAAAGTGCATGCTCTCCAAATGCATGCCTACAGCCACCAAGACCACAGAAGGCCGGCAGAGGCATCCAATCTGCGAGCTCATAGCTGGCTGACACAGGTAGGAATCAGGGATCCTTTGGGAGCCTTGGAAGAGAGCTGCATCCTGACTGGTACGTTCAGCTGCATTGACAAGTGTCCCTTCAGAGCTCTCTTAGGAGAGTTTATAGCTCACAGCAGCATCTGTTCACAATGTTCCAACCTCTCCTTCTGCCTAACCCCCGGCCTCTTACCTCATAGGGTCAGGCTTTCTATCTTGAGATGGAGGACCTAACCATCTTGGAGTTTTCTTTCATCAGAGCTACACATAGATATGTGCAATTCTAGGACTATGAGAAATCAGAAATACCAATCATTCTCTTTTTTAAAAAAAAAATCTCTACCTACCGAGCACAGAGAGCTTGAAACGGTTACCCAAAAGGTAGAGCAGAGCAGAGAGGTGGGGTAGCACAAGGTACAGAGCCCCGCTCTGGGTCAGCCTGCCTGGCATCAATCCTGGCTTGGCCATGCCCTTTCTGTGCCTCCACTTCCTCCTCTGAGAAACAGAGGTAATAATAGCAGCTGCATCATAGGACACTGTGACGATTAAACGAGTCACTACAGTTCGAACAGTGCCTGCAGGAGTAGGTGTTCAATCAATATCAGCCACTATTACAGTGATGCCAACCCTTCACACCCTTCCACAAAATAGCAATACAGGGAAAACACCATTATCTAACAAATCCTCACAACCACACTGAGCACAGCAGCCCTCCCACCCAAACCAGAATCCCCAAGGGCAGGAATGAATCCGAATTTTGTGAACATTTGCTGGTGCTTCATGTGTGCACTGAAGTTTGAGAACCGCTGGTCCAGAATACCAGTAAAGAACACCCTAAATGGAACTACAGCAAGATGCGGGAGGAACGAAACCTAGAGCTTTCACCGGTTTTACTAAGACAACTCCATTTTCCATCTCTCGTCAGTTATCTGTCACCGGAGAAGGAGACAGAGCAGGGAGAAGAGAGACAGCAGACGGGACTGGATGGCTCACCGTCCTAATCTCAGGTGACGGACAGGCGATTCCATGTGATCCGTCTTCAACTTTCTTGACAAACCAAAAAGCATCGCCCCGGAGTCTTACAGCCGACACCCCACTTATTCTCCATTAACTACTGATGGGAAAGGAAAGTGGGGCCTGGCAGCGTCTGGAACTCCTGGAGGTGGGGGCAGGCCAATATCCCTGTCCTGAGAGAGGTGCTAGCATATGATGAAGAGAATATGACAGAGGAAGAAGGAAGTGTGCTGTGGGGAGAGGCCGGTAGCCTCTCAGAGTCGGCTGTCCTTCGAGTGAGAAATGCACCGGAATAGACCCTGTAATCCAGCTAGTGCTGCCTGAACAGAGGCCACGCCTATGCAAATTGCGCTCTCAGCAACGTTTTCCACTCAGACACCATGATATTGATCAGTCACAGGGCTGCTGGTTCCTGGCTTCCTTTGGGGCCTGAGAAATTGGGGTCCTGATTGGCTGGAAGGGGAGCAAAGGCCAGCAGGTACACACAAGGCCCTGCTTCTCCAAGGGACTGGAGGATGGAGAGGCAAGGAAGAGTGCTCTGGGTGCCTCCAGGGCTGGGCACCTGGGAAGAGGATAGCACCACTGAATAAAAGAGAGGACTCCAGAGAGGCCAGCTGGGGAAGGGGGGAGGGGACGGTTCCCAGCCAGGGCACACATGATCGTGCTTGGGCACTATT